GGGGATGCAATCAAAACAAAGTTTGTTTGTCTCTGCGGAAGACTCGGCGTTTGCTGCAAATCGAAGGGCACAAGCGGCAGGAGGAAGTGGTAAATACCGAGGTAATTACAAACCGAAGAGTGACTGATCCCCCAAAAGGGCCAAAATATCGAAAGTGCCATAAGTTTGACCATATCGCTCGCGACTGTACGAGTGCGAGAAGGGTTCGTCGATTCCGATGCAAGCGTGCACATTGTAGGGTTTGCGTTTATTACTTTTGAGTAAAATATATTGACAGTATTATAAGTTAGGAACACCTTTTCCGAAAAGGTCTTGGCAAAAAAGGGAGGACGAGTGAAAACGATCGGACGAAGGGACGTGAGAAGAGATTGACGAGGTGAAGAATAAATATTGGTTGGCGTGAAAATCTAAAAAAAAAAAAAAAAAGAAGTAGGTGAAAAAAGAAATGTTAGTGCCTTACAGTCCGTTAGGAGATTAAACTCTCTACCTATTAAATAATTCTGGAACCGCTCGACACTCCAAACCAACGCAAGTGCCTCTTTCTCGGTCTGACAGTATCGCCGTTCGGTATCTGTCAGAGATTTTGACGCAAAACATACGACTCGTGATTCCTCCATATCATTAGTTTGAATTAAAACTGCCCCCAACGCATGAGGACTCGCGTCTGCCATAACCGATGTTTCATCTTCTGGTTTGAAAAACCCTAAGCAACTTGCATTTGAAATGCTGGCTTTTATTTCATTGAAAACCTCTTCCTCCTTTTCCCCCCAGTGAAACTTTGACCCCTTTCGCTTGAGATTTCGTAAAGGCTCGTCTATGGTAGCCAAATTTGGTACAAATTTAGCCATATAATTTGCAAGCCCAAGAAAAATTCGCACTTCACTACTGTTACTTGGTCGTCGGAATGTGGCCACTGCATTTTGCTTTGTCACTGAGGGAAGGATGCCTTTTGCATTTATACGGTACCCCAAAAACTCGAACTCAGTTATCCGGAACTTACATTTTTCTCGATTCAATACCACACCACTTGCATTTAATCTGTCCAATACCTAAAACCAAACAATGATAAAATAACAATAAAAAAAACAACATTAGAGTTACAACAGTGTATTTATCATTTATTATTAATCCAACGAAATTAGCTATTATACCTTCATGAGCCGATCGTCATGTTCCTCGAGAAAGCTTCCCTCTACTCCAACGTCATCTAAGTACCAATAAGTACCCTCGCATCCCGCCAAGATTTCGTCCATAGTACGCTGGAATATCTCCGGTGCCGAGACCAATCCGAATGGGAGACGTTTAAACTGATACAGTCCTCGATGCGAAATGAAGGTCGTGACACTTCTCGATTCTTCGTCCAGCTCTAGCAAAAAAAACGCGTCCTTGATATCTAGTGTGCTCCATATATTTCCTCTACCTATCTTCGCCAGAACATCCTCGATGATTGGCATTGGATGGCGTTCTCTGATAACGGCCTGATTTACACGCCGTAAGTCCACACACAACCGGATATCACCATTAGATTTCCTCGCCACTACTAAAGGGGAAACCCTTTCTTTGCCTCTATGATATCCTTTGCTAGAAGTTCATCAAGCTTCTTGTTAACAGAGTCCTCCAACGGGATCGGAATTCGTCTAAGCGGCTGGAAAACAGGGACGACAGTTGGATCCATCTGAATATGAACCTGTACCCCTTTAATCTTTGGAAATGTAGGTGTTGGCTCTTTATTCTGTACTTGATTAACATCAATTCCTATCTTCAACACGCCGAGTTGTTTGGAAGTTGCATCGCCGAGTATGTTACGTTGTCCTTTTTCGATGACGAAAAACTCCGCTTCATCAATTCAATCACTGCTACAAATGATCCCAATATGACTAACGGTAAATCGCTGCCATACGCTTTTAGAATCTTATCACTGCCTTTGGTGCACTTCTGCACAATAATGCATTTTTCTTTCATCATTTCCCATGTTCCAACAGTGATCAGGTTTGCGTCCGATCCCGAGTCAACTAGCATTTCGGTAGGAATTCCTCCAACTTCACATTTAATCACCCCCTAGCCGCAGAAAATTTCAAATTATTGTCTCTATTCCATTTAACGTCTAGCCTCCAGCCCCCTAGCTGCAGAAACTTTTAAAAAAAATAGCCCCCTAGCCATTCAATTTCAGGTTTCCAGCCCCCTAGCTGCAGAAACGTTAAAAACATTGGCCCCCTAGCCATTCAATTTCAGGTTTCCAGCCCCCTAGCTGCAGAAACTTTTAAACCAATGGCCCCCTAGCCATTCAATTTCATGTTTCCAGCCCCCTAGCTTCAGAAACTTTTAAAACAGTGGCCCCCTAGCCAGTCACTTGTTTCCAGCCCCCTAGCTGCAGAAACGTTCAAAATAATTAGCTATTCAATCCATTACTTCCACTGGTAACAACTTTCATAATTTGATTCTTGCGGTACTATGCCCCTCCTGGACACAGCATCGTCAACTAATTTTTTTTTTCATCGCAGTGGCCCCAACGTGAGGAGTATGGTATCCGATTAGTACACTCGATTTCTTATTGGCCTCAAATGAATGGGGAAGTGGAGCGCCAGAACCGCTCCATTTTGAAGCGTTTACGGATAGCGCAGGAATTGGGGAAGGACTGGCGGAAAGAGTTGAGGCAATATCTGCTGATGTACCACGCAGCAAGTCACACGACTACAGGAAATCCTCCATCGGAGCTCATGTTTGGACGTCGTATACGTACTAAATTACCGTGCATTTTAACCGCATCACAGGAATACGAGGTCGTGAGAGAACGAGACGCTATTGAGAAAGAGAAAGGGAGATTGTATGCTGACAAGAAACGTGGAGCCACGGAAAGTGACTTACAAGCAGGAGATCGCGTGCTAGCGAAGCGTACCAGGAAGGAAAATAAGCTGTGTGCTGACTTTGCACCTGAAACGTTTGACGTTATCCATAGAAGTGGAGCTGATGCAACGATGCCAGATATACAGACTTTTGTACACGATAAAGGTGGACACTATCTTTTTTGAACCCCTGTAACTTTAATTATAATAACGATTTTTCTAATCTCATTAGATATAAAAATAGTTACAAGTATTAACTAGTTATTGCATTAATTCTAGCTTCAGGAAATACTTCATTTGATATTTTTAAGATACAATTAAAAAAGGGTGACCACTTTTTTCGTGCACAGAAGTCTGTATATCTGGCATCGTTGAGCTGATGTCACCATTCGATCAACTAAAACGGGAAAGGAATTCAGAAGAAGTTCAGCACATCTGAAAGCACTTCCCCGTGCAGAGCCTAACAAGACTGATCCACCAGAGGATACAACTTCGTCGGAGCCTCGTTTGGTGCGCAAGAGCAGCCACCGTGAAAAGGAGGATAATGATACTACATCGACATCAGACAAAATACAGACGGCAAATACATTAAGAAGAACTAGAGTAGAACCTAAACATTTCAGAGATTACGTAAGCTACTGAATAATTCGTTTAAAGGAAGAGGGGGATGTAGGGTTTGCGTTTATTACTTTTGAGTAAAATATATTGACAGTGTTATAAATTAGGAACACCTTGGCCGAAAAGGTCTTGGCAAAAAAGGGAGGACGAGTGAAAACGATCGGACGAAGGGACGTGAGAAGAGATTGACGAGGTGAAGAATAAATATTGGTTGGCGTGAAAATCTAATCGAGTGGTTTTGAACAAATATTCCGAAACTGGATCTTCTTCAGTATCTACACACATGACTAGCCACCGAGAGTTGCTGGAAAATATTAAACCTTCGACTGGGACCATCGTCACTGGCTAACGGGAACACTATGAATGTGGAACAGGTTCAACCATCTTGATGCCAGTCTATCAGGATGATACCATTTCAGTACACAAAGTCCAGCTGATTCCGGATCTTTCAGTGAGCCTACTCTCCGTGAACGAGATAGTGAAGAAGGGATACCTAGTCGCCATATGCAAGGTGATCAACAAAAGCGGTGACACTGTGCAAACGGGTAAGCACGAAAACGATTTGTTTCAGCTCGAACAGCAACAGCAGGATACGAGCAGCGCTTTGACTTGTTCATCTGCGCTCAGCCTGAAGATTTGGCACCAGATGTTGGACCATTTGAATATGAAAAGAGTCCACAAGCTGACCAACGGATTAGTGGATGGAATTACTATCGTCGATAGGAAAGCAGAGGACTGTAAGGTGTGCCAATGGGAAAACATTGCCGGAATCCCTTTAGCAAGAAAGGTTCACGCGGCGCAGAGGTACTCGATGTGGTGCACACCGATATCTGTGGGCCTATGAAAGTGAATTCACTCGGTGGTACTACATCGTCTTCGTTGATGATAAATCCAGAAAAATGTGAACGTACTTTCTGAAGACGAAATGGGAGGCAAAACATTTGAGAACCTTCAACGAATGCCACGCGAAAGAGTCACAGAAAAATAGACATAAAACTAGCAAGTTGTTCATCGAACAAGCATTAAACGAGAAATTCAAAAGAATCGTAGTTGGTAGAACTGCCACCTGTGGCACGCAAAGTCAATTCCCTTGGGTTTGACGTTTACACACTATCACCATCTGTTTTAGCGACAATGTTTCACAGTGAAAAATATTCAATGTGTTATGTCTGTTTGTCTGTGGTTGAGCGACAGTCCGACCGGAAGCTAAAGGTGCTTCCAAGCGATAATGGTAAAGATTATGTGAATAAGGGCTTCTAGAGCTACCTGTTGGAAAAAGGCGTCCAGCACCAGAAAACAACAGCTTACACTCCGAAGCAGCACGGCATGGCAGTACGCACCAACCGTTCAATAGTCGAGAGCGCACGATGCATGGTATTTGAAACAGGACTAGCGAAAACTTTCTGGGCTGAGGCTGTTCATACTTCTGTCTATCTGCTTAACCGATCTCCCAAGCAAGGTCATAATTCGTCACCGGAGCAGGTCTGGACTGGCAAAAATCCGGATTTGGCTCACTTAAGAGTCGTCGGCACCAAGGCGATGGCGCAAATACCGGATCCCAAATCTCGGATATGCGTCTTCGTTGGATACGACAATAATACAAAAGGGTATCGACTTTACGATCCGCAATCGCGCAAGGTGTTCACCAGCCGCGAAGTAAGTTTCATTGACGACGGTATGCCAAGCTCACAGGATGAAACGTGACGGCGACGTCGACGACGAACATGGCGAGTTCTACACAGACTGCGTGCACGATACCATCCACGACGAAGAAGAATTCAACGGTTTCGACTTGTCACAAGTCGCTGCGCAAATCTGTTTTTCGAGGTTTTTTTTTCAATATTACTCAAATTGAATAATAATTACTTCTTAATAATGATCAATGTCTAATATCACTCAAAACAACATTCAATAATTTTAGCCAGATTCTTGTCCTACACCGATGAAAATATTAGGTAAATTTGAAATACCAACTGGAACTGGGATTTAAATATTAAATTGCAAAATTCAATGAATTTAAGCTGAAATTTACACGTTCATATAAATTGTATCGTTGTTACTTGAAATTTAATTCAATTCCTGTTGAACTTTTGACATCCATGTAAAATCACACTTGCATGTAAAATTCAATTCATATAAATGTATTACTATATACTTTCATGTAAATTTTGTTTGCTGTGTGTTTCAACTAATAGTAGAAAATACATGAATGTGCCAAACGTAAATTTTCCAAAGTTTTAGCTGTCTAGTTACTCCTCGTGCGGCGGTGCTCAATTTTTGGAAAGGAGTGTATGTAACGGAAAAGGTTGAAAACCACTAACTGGGAAAGTCCCACGATATGGTCATCAATATGACATTAATCCAAAAAATGCAAGCAGTTCCATAGTTCCAATTCCTCTACCATAACTTACTCCATCGCTTCGTTAATCGTTGAGCTGATTAAAATGCGTTAAAACCCCGCTCATTTTCGCCATACCAGTGAACAATAATAAAACGCAGCTAACGGCACAGGGGGTGATCTTTTAATCCAATTATGATTTGCCTGCTGCTAGTACCCAGGTAAGCGCAAAACACCAACTTCGATTAAGCAATTTTCTACAATTCAAGTCTAAGTATCACGTTCCGTGCGAGCCTACAGTTGGTTGATCTGCGTCTACTGCTTGCTCCCTCCCCATTCCCCACTCCCCACGCGATGGAAGTCAACAGAAGAAGTCGTCGGCGAAGAGGAAGTCTGACAAACGACTGTTGTAGTGCCAACAAAGTTGGCAAATTTAACACGACAAGCTATGACAGCGAGCTTAGCGGTTCAGTCATAATGTGGATCGTAAAAATCTCACGTTTCAAAAAACAAATAGAATGAGTGCAACTCCACACAAAATCAAACACGCAGATTTCGGTCACTAGTGCTGGGGTTATGGAAGAGTGTTGGTCGTAAATTCGCAGTCATACTTAATATTTAAACACATGCTGGTTTTATGCAACGAAGAAGGCAGAGGTGCGAACAATTATTGTTCACACCCACGTGCCTGTCATCCAGTTGAGTAACTTGGATGTTTGTTTAAGGGTTAGTAAATGCAAATCAATATTACTTTTTAACTTTCTTCTAGATTTTGTTAATTTGACACGAGTAGGTTACCGAAGACTTGCCTCGATAACTTTTATTTTTTTATGAATTACATTTTAAATAATACCTACGTTCACGAGAAACACAATACTTCACCCTTTTAGTGCGCAGATTACAGCCGCAAGCAAAATGGCTGGCTTTGTTTTCTTCTAATTAAGCGGATTTATTTTCCTTCCAGCAACCCCAGACATACCTACTATCCTAAACGTAGCATGAAAACAATTCGCACGATTTTCAGCTTTTCACTGAATAAAAGATTTCAATTTATGCAAAGTGACCAAAAAGGTCACAATTGCAAACTAATACCGAGAACATTAAACGCATTCGCTTGAACGATTACGATCCAGTTTCAATGGCAAACGGTTCGGTTGCTTGCGACGACGACGTTAGGCAATGATTACCATCAAAGTGTAAGTACTATGAACGGTGACCGAGATGAAGATAATAGGCAGCTTTTGGATCATGCAAAATTGTGAAATTGGATCAGTTTTTGGTCGGTTTGAGCTTGAACTGCTGACCGCTAGGAGGTTGCGAGAGTTAGCACAAACTACGGGTGAAGCAAAGCTTTACGGTTAACAAAAATAGATGTGTAAGTCTGATAAATGCTTCCTAAAAAGAGAGTAAATTCCCATGGTGGGATACGAAATTACCAATACAAGTGTACATTCGAAAGCTTTGAATGAATTTTATATAAATCATTCATTGTTTTTCGATAAGAGCAAGATGTCAATTAGGCCGATGCAAATAATATAAGGTGGTCCATGAGACGTTTTGCAATTGACATGACAGCTAAAAAGCTGTGAGTGTGTGAGTAATCAGGTGTTACCGATGCTAGATGAACATATAAATAGAGCTATTTTCAATGGGAAAGATCTGTCAGTTCAACTATGAACTTTCAAAACTTCTCGATAAACATAAGGGTTGATGCATATATTATGTCACGCTCTAAGGGAGGAGGGGGGTCTAAGATTTTGTGACAAGCAATGCATTAGGTATAGAAAAAACGTAACAAGAGAGGGGGGGTTAATTTTTCCTCGATTTAGCGTGACATAATTAATGCATGGGCCCTGAATATCAGTTGACCACAGCTGTTTCAAGGAATGCCTTATTATCATTTTATGTCCAATATCATTCAAATAGGCCGAGAGAGGGGCACAAAATAAATAACAAGGGACAAAAGAATAATATATCCCGGAATATCAAGAAGATTCATCTAAGGGGTCATCCACAAAGTATGTAATTTAATTATGTTTGTGTTTTTGTATTATTATTGGACTAAACCATCCACCTTCCCACTTCCCCCTTCCTCCTCCCCCTTCCACCCTTCCCTCTCCTAAGGTCCTAAGTAACAAATGTAAACAAATCGAGCTAAGCGATACAAACTATTGGCTACTATCATTGTAAGTGAAACAAAAACACCCATCCAAATTTACTTTCATTTATTTAAGATAATTACAATTGTCCAATTTACAGTTTGAAATGATGGGCACATGATTGTTACTTCGGTCACTCGGACTGCCTAACATGATTGGTGCTCATTTTTTAAAGGCGAGGCCAATCTAAAGTTAGGTATTCTACTCTGAAATCTGTGAAAGGGAATCTAGTATCATGTAGAACAAAACGTCCAATATAACACTCATTGATTATGTCATGGTGAAAAATCGGCCAATGTTACATGTCCGATGTACAATTTGACTAGTCAAAACGTCTTATGTGGTTTTTTTTTCTCTATTGTAGCATGAAATTCAAAGTTAAATTGTGATTTTACCCTTTCTACAGAATTTTGAACGTTATTATTCACTAACTACATTAAAAATAGTATTGCTAAATTTATTGTTAACAGTTAAAATAATAATCTGTCGAACTTCAACACCGATTTTCTCAAAATGGTGAATATGTTATATTGGTTTATTTGAAAAGTGACGCGAAATGTCAAACGTCACAATGGAGTTCAATATTATCACCGATTGCCTGCAAACAGCGCTTTCCCTAACACAGATTTCAAAATCGAGTTTCATTCGGTCTCACTGAACGGTTTTATTCAATCACTGTGTGTGGTGGTGTCCGGTCGGTCGTCAGCAGCAGCAGCAGCAGAAGCAGAAGCAGCAGCAGAAGCAGCAGCAGTGCTTTAGGCGCGTGGCGTTGTACATTTTTCTCCAGTACGCAACGAAAGGCTCCCCGTAAGCAGCTAGCTGCTTTCGTGAAAGGAGCCCTCGATTCACCGAAGAAGGAGGAAAAAGCCTCACCGCTACTGATGGGGATCCATCCTCGTGAGTCTCTGTGGGTCATCTATGCCAAGCGCGTCACCCTCGTTCTAAACAACATACAGCTTGCCAGCCTCATCCGTGTCCAACACTCTAATAGCTCAGCAATACTCAACCATTACGAAAAAACCGGTTCAATTTAGGACCTTTATAAATTATTGTTGTTGAGAGTTAATTTTTAATGAACGTTCGCTCGCCTTGCTGCCAGCCACATCACTCCCAAAGCTCTTCGATAATTTACCCAGCAACCAAACGTTAGTGTTCAAATGCGTAACAGTATTGAAGTGGTAGGTACATAAAAATTCTCGCAATGACCGAATACCACATAACCATGTCAATTAATCAGACACTTCGTAAGGATTTCTCCAGGACGCTAGAAAAAGCAAACAAAAATCTCGAATTTATATGATCACGAATATCTCGTGATTTGGAAAAAATTGAGCAAGAAATTCCTCCAATCAATATTTGCTTTTTTATTATCTATTGAATAAACCAAAACTTCCGTGCGTTTTGTGCACGATAATACGTAGTGAGATGAAAAAAAATCCCTAACACAGTCACCGAATATTGATACCAAGCACTGAGCATGCCAGACGGAACCTATTTTTATGCCTTTTGATGCAAATTTTAGCCCCTCCCATTAAGAGAATTAAACCAATAAAAATCTTGCCAAATTCTCTTTAATAGAAGGGGCTTAAATTTTGCATCAAAAAACATAAACGAATGTACCGTCCGGTAGATTCTGTGATTGATGTGTTTTCCCTAATACATATTTCATTTCCGCAACACTATCATCTCCAAAATCATTGAGGAAACATATCCACTGCATTGTACTAAACTAGCTTCCAAGCTCCCAACCCATCGGTCCTTTTCAGGACCACAAATGACTGATAAATTAGTTAACTAGACAGTAATAGCTTGAATCCAAGACATGTCAACCAGTATTGGCTTATATGGAATCCACAGAGCACATCAAAAACAGAACTCTCAAAACGCTTTCGAATTTCAACCTATCGAAATTTTCGTGATTTGTTTTTTTTTTTTTAATTTCCGCGTTATTTTGTGAAGTAAGGGGCATTATGTTCCCGTCTTACGTAAAGACCAAATCGAAACAACGAACGTCACGTAAAAGAAGAGATTAATGAAGGCTTATCGCTTTTCCGTAGCTTTTTTGTCTCCAGGTTTAAAGGATCATCGTTTGAGTTTGAATAAATCCCAGCTCCAATTAAGGAGACTTGTAATATTGCTTGATTATCGTGTGTTTTGTG